CTAGAGCAATATAACCACAATACGATAGCAATAGTATTACAATATCACATATAAAAAATATAATTATTGTCTACTTATTGCTGATTTTTGACATGTTCAGAAATTTTGTTCTCTCTTAGCTCACTCAGCTCAATCTCTCTGGCACATCTCTCTTTTTCTTTGGTATCTGTCTATCGCAGCTCTCTGTCTCTCTGTAGTGCAACTCTCTATCTCTCTCTTTGCTCTCTTTCTACAGCGCAGCTCTTTCTCTCTCTGCCTCTCTCTCTAGCTTCGTTCTGTCTTTTTCTCCCCCTATTCGCTCTCTTGCTCTCTATCTCTTTATTCATACCTTCCTTTTTTTGTAAATTATTTTTCAGTTGTTATTATTTTTTAAAATAATTTCTTACAATGTCTTATGGTGCAATTATGATGCACATGACTGCCTGTTTTTGAAAGGCACGTTGTTTCTTTCTCCTCATCTTCTTCTTTTTGAATGAAGTATGGCTTAAACCGTAAACCCATTGATGAGCTGTGGTCAATATACATCAATATAATGGCAATATTAGGCCAATATACATACATTAGAGAATCAATATTAGGGCAATATAATCGCAATGCGACAACAATAGCATCACAATATACATGCAATACGGTGGCAATATGCATACAATATGTATACAATACATAGGCAATATTAGTACAATACACATGCAATAGGACAGAAATATGAAGTCAATCTACATACAATACACACACATCCATTACAGACTACAATTTAGACATGGAAAATAAATCGCCACCGAACCCTAACAATACTATCCTGCGAAGTAAAAATTATTTCTTTCATAAAACTTGAAAATTCAATTGTTATTACATAGTCAACCAATCTTTGCTCTAGTATATACACACTTCCTACCTATAATTATAAATAATGGAGAGCTCACAAATTCTACTAATTTGATCTTAACTTCATCAATTTGTTCTTCGGTGTATGAGTTAGTGCTCTCTTCTTGCACATTTTCCAAGCTGTTATATTCTCCTCCCGTGTAGCAATATCAGCAACAACAAGTTATCTACAGATCTGAAATCATAACTGCAGATGATTCTCAATTAACAAAGAGGAAAACCATTTTCTTTTATAACTTTGGTTTTGGAATATATAACAAAATGCAATAGTTCAAACTCAGCCTCGTGTGTATGGATGGCCAATGGTGAAAACGAAAATATAGGACCCGCATACTATCAAATTCATTGAGGGAGAGAATTACGTTCCTTTTGAATATGAATCGATGTGCAACTCCAACTATCATTTCAAAGGTCAACATCAATTCATGCTAATATAAGGATGGATAACAATTGTCGTGTTCATGAGATTTGAATTCAGAATTACTTTCAATGAAGTGGAGACTCTGTTATTAGACCAAATGGCCATTGACATACGATATAATAGCAATATTAAGCCAATATATGTACACTATAGAGGCAATATTAGAGCAATATAACCACAATACAATAGCAATAGTATTACAATATCACCTATAAAAATATAATTATTGTCCACTTATTGCTGATTTTTGACATGTTCAGAAATTTTGTTCTTTCTTAGCTCACTCGGCTCTCTCTCTGGCACATCTCTCTTTCTCTTTGGTATCTGTCTATCGCAGCTCTATGTCTCTCTTAGAGAAGCTAAATAAGATCATAGCAAAATAAAAGGCTACAAAATCAAGTGAACCTATAGCTAGGGAGCCCTGTAAGGTCCTGTGAAAAGGCAGTAGTTGCAAAAGAAGGAATAGAATCCCTTCTGTGGGAGCCAGATTAGTCCACCCTGTAATCAGCCAAACAATATGACTGTTTATCATAGATGAGTTTTCTAGTAGCAATCAATTTTACTTGCAGTATGGATAAGTACTATATACTTATTTCACTAGTAATAAACTTTTAACACTTTACTTTGCTTCCCTCTACCTCTCCCTAAAATTTTCCATGCTCTGCCACCGCTGAGCAATGGGCTAGGCAACTCGGAAATATTATCTAAATCTATTAAGTAGCCTAGGATGCACAAGAAACAATAAGCAACAACAGTTTTGCAGTTTATTTGAAGGTGATTTCGTTAATAAGGACAGAATAGTACCCTAAATGCAGGGTGATGTCAGAATCTCCCTTCTCAAATGCAAAATTGCTGACCAAATCTGGGTTTGTGACACCATGGTTTACAAGGGATTTCTCTTTTTCCACCGGATAATATTCCAGATAGGATGGGACTGCACGGTCAGTTTGTGGAAATAAACACCGAAGCTCCTCATCCTACAATATAAGTATAGGCCATAACAGATACATTACATAATATACAAATCACTCACAGGGAAGTAAATGTCAGAAACTGATCAAATTTTCATTAGCAAGAAGAATGTTGTTTACCTGTCTGCGCAACATTTCATTCTCAAGTATAGCACGCTGTTCCTGGAGGAAACAAATAGCTTCAAATTAAATACCGGGTAAAATTGTCCGTTTTGTTGATAATAAATAAATAAAC